CGGCCCCGGCCCCCCCCCGGGGCCCGGGTAGCCCGGCCCCGCCGGCGAGCTCAGCCCCCGGGGGCGGAGGCGGAACCCGGTCGCGGTGCCCAGCCCCTCCGTGACAGCGTCCCCCGTCTCCCCGCAGCCCCGCCGGCATGTCGCGACCGCTGTCGGACCAAGAACGGCGAAAGCAGATCAGCATCCGCGGCATCGTGGGAGCCGAGAGCGTGGCCGAGCTGAAGCGGGGCTTCAACCGGCACCTCCACTTCACCCTGGTCAAGGACCGCAATGTGGCCACCCCCCGGGACTACTACTTCGCCCTGGCCCACACCGTGCGGGACCACCTGGTGGGGCGCTGGATCCGCACCCAGCAGTACTACTACGAGAAGGACCCCAAGGTGGGAGCGAGGGGATGCTTGGGGGGGACCCTCATCCCAGGGCGGAGGGCGGTGGGAACCCCCCGGCTTTCCCAAAGTGGGTCCTGCGTTACGGCCGGGGTGGGAGAAGGGGAATTTGTCCGGCCGTCGCAACCCCGTGGGTGCAAACCCTCCCTCTGCGAACACGGTGGAAGAACATAGAGAACGGGGGGGCTTGGTTTTTCTTGGCTTTAGGGATATTCCCCCGGCTTAGCCCAGCGCAGGGACTGGACTTTAACAAGCGAGGCCACTGGCCTTTGCTTTGCAAAACAAACAGAGCGCAGCTTGGCCGGCAGCTGGGCGCAGGGCATGGGAACAGCGTTTGTTGTCCTGCAGCGCTGGCGTGGGTGCGGTCTACCAAAACCAGCTGCAAAGCCTTCTAGGGTGAATTCCTTAAAGGGTTTAAATGATCCCGCAGCCAGCCACAAGCAGGCCTGGTTTAAAAGAGGTGCGAGCTTAATCTGCGCCGCGGTGATCCTGAGCGCGGAAGATCCGGTTCGTGCAGGAGTTTCTGTGCTGCTGCCCGTCTGCGCCAGCTTGCGCCGAGCGCGGGGCTCCGGCTGCTGGGGGATTAGGCAGTAATCCCCCCCTGCCACCTGGACGGCCCTGTCGGCTCTAATTTTCTCCCTGCGAGGGTGGCCCTGCAAACACCTCCCTGGGACCGTGCCAGCCCCTGATAGCTCAACCCCTGCCCCATGTTGAGAAAAGAAGATGAGCCTCTTCCAGGGCTCGAGTCTGGGGACCCTCCTGTGTAGCCGAGCCGTGCTGCGTGCCGTCTGCCCGGCGTGGCCGCCTCTGGCTCCGCTGGCACCAAACTACTGAGCCCAACCGATCCTGCCCAGCGCATCCCCCCGCCGACCCCGCACGGGTCCTGGGGAAACCTGTCAAGTCAGCAACTTCCTCCAGCCTAAATCCTTCCTTAAAACCTGCGGGGGCTGACGCCGGGGGACGGCTTACACAAGCCTCCGCGTTACCGGCCGCATCCTGCACCCCTCGTGTCAGCATGTGCAGTGCTCCGGAGACCGATCCCCCTGGGGCCGGCAGAGGAAGGCCGCGTCCCCGCGGCTGCCGTGCGCCCCGGGCCCCGGCGGCTTGCTTGGTTTTCCGGTTGCTTTGCAGCTCGGGGTGACATTAGGAAACGTCTCCTCTTTAAAGTTTAACTTTGTGCCGCCGCGGCCGCTGGCGTGCTCGGGGTGACCATCCTGGAGCTGTCCCTGCTCTCGGACAGGGCGCCGGGGCTTGTCCAAACAAAACTGCCTCGGCGCTTCCCGCTTCCCGGCTTGGGAAGCAGCAGCGGTGGGAGAGCAGGGCTGGGGCTGCAGGGCTCGGCCGCCTCCGAGCAGCTCCGGCCCTCAAATTCCCGGTGCAAACCACCCTGCTCTGTTGAGAGTCAGGGTTTTTCCTCTTGCTGCGAGATAACGCCCGATAGCAGCTTCTGGGATCCAGGGGAGCCTCCTCTGGCCCCAGGGAAGGTGACCAGGGGGTGGTTTTCTCTTTCAGAGGATTTACTACCTCTCCCTGGAGTTTTACATGGGGCGGACGCTGCAGAACACCATGATTAACCTGGGGCTGCAGAATGCCTGCGATGAAGCCATCTACCAGGTGAGCACCCCAGGGGGTCGGTGGGGAGCCAGACCGGGAGGGCTCCGCGCCCTCCGCCTCCTGGGGATGTTCGTGTTTTACCGCGCTGGCTGCAAACTGCTCCCTGAGCCGCAGGCGATGCTGTGGTGGATAAACACTGCTCCGGGACTGGCTCTCGAAAGGCCTGGGGCCACAGCCAGTGCTTAGAGCCTGATCGGGGCTGTCCAGCCTGGCGGCTGCGTGCTGAGGGATGCGGCACGGCGCTGCTGAGTGCCGGCAGGACGGAGGCTCGAGCTCCTACACTGCAAGGAAACTCATGGTTCCATGCATGAGGCCATTAATAGCTGTAATCAATGGCAGAGGAGAATAAAAGGTTGGCCAAACCCAGCCCCAGCCTGGCGCCGGCACCACGAGGCACTCGGGCTGTCGGAGGTTTTTGGGTGGCTCCTTTCCCCCCATGCTGTGCTTGCACCCCTTGCGACCAACGCCGGCGTACGCGGCCGGGGCGGTTGCACAACAGCAGGAGCAGCTTTCGTGCAAACGCGTTCAAAGGAGAGGAACTTATTTTTAGGTTTTTTTTATCTGTTGACCTTGCAGTGAGGATGGGAGCTCGGCGGGGGGGAGGGTGGAGGGGAAGAGCCCGGGATGCCACGTTCTGGTGGCCTGGGGAAGCAGAAGGTGCGAGGTTATTTGGAAATGATCCTCTTTGCAGCGATGGCAGGTAAAGCTCTGAGGGAAATCCTCCTTACTGCGTACACTGAGCCCCCGGACACAAACGCCAAACATCTCTAAAATAAAAGGTTTGGCATAATATGAATCCCTTAAGGTATTTTGGTAGGTGTTCAGGGCTGCCGGTGAAATTCAGAGCTGTGCAGCCTAGTGCCGTGAAACACCGGCGAGGCTGCGGCCAGTGCTGGTGCTCCAGGACCTGTCTGTGACCGGCTGGTTTGGCCATGGGACCAGGGTTGTCCCTGCTTACTGTGACCATGGGACATCGCGGGGACGTCAGACCAAGAGGTTTCTGTGGGAAAAGGGGGCTCATCCCTGGCAAGGCACCGTCTTATTTCCCGCTGAGCTGCCCGAGGAGCTTTGCATAGGCAAAACCTCTTCCTCCCACAGCATCTCGGGCTGGAAGCTTTACATTTCCTTGTAAAAGTGGCGTAGCCGCTTCTCTGGGCGTCTCTGTTGAAGGGCGATGCCTGGAGCCGGGGGGACGGGCACCTGGGTGCCTGCCCCGGGGAGACGGGGTGCTGGGGGAGCAGGGGCCTGGTGCCTGCCCCCGTGGGGCTGCAGCCATCGGGCTGGGGCATGGAGAGGGGGAACGGGCCCGGGAATGAGCCCTGGGAGACCTGCCTGAAATGGCTGGGACCACGAGAGCAGCACCCACGTTACGGCTGGGGGGCCCCCCCCGAGGTAAGGAGCCCTGTGAGCCCTGCCTGAAATGGCTGGGACCACGAGAGCAGCCCCCTCGTTACGGCTGGGTGCCCACCGCCGCCAGGATCTCATCCACGGCGAGGTCAGGGACTTGTGTGTCCCTTGTAAAGGCTGGTGGAGTGACTTAAATCCCCGAGCTGGTCCCTGCCACACCATGGAGTGGCCATGGAGAGGAGGGACCGCTTTGGATGCAAATCCCCAGCTGCAGGGATGGGTCTGGCAGGCTTGGGTGCCTTTCCACCCCTCCTGGAGCCCACCTGCAAGCGGGGACGGCAGCGGTGGGCGCCAGACAGCACCCGCGGGTGCGTGCCAGCAGTGCCTCCCCTCCGCGGGGCTGGGCACCCTGAGAGCCTCCAGCCCGTCACCTCTCCTCATCTGCAGCTCGGGCTGGACATGGAAGAGCTGGAGGAAATCGAGGAGGATGCCGGTCTTGGCAACGGCGGTCTCGGCAGGTTGGCTGGTGAGTGAGCCCCCCAAAATGGTCTCGTTGCCTGGGTGGTGGGGCACAGCCCTGGAGCCTTTGCATCCCCTGGGGGGGGGGTACCTAAACCTGGGGGGGGTTACGGCTCCAGCCTTTCCGTGCACAGGGCGAGAGGCGCGGGGTGGCCAGGGAGCGAGCGGTGGCTGCTGGCCCTGGCTCGTGTCTCTGCGGGGCGGCTGCTTGCGGCCCTCGGGTCTCCCCCGGGGGGAGGGCCCCCCGGCGCGCTTCGATGCGAACGCTGGGGCTGGCAGCCTCCGGCTACGGCATCCGCTACGAGTACGGCATCTTCAACCAGAAGATCCGGGATGGGTGGCAGGTACAGACAGAGGCGCACAGCCCCCCGGCAGGAGCCCCGAGTCCGGCCTCCCCCTTAAATCAGGCCAAGATCAGGGTGTACAGACACTCTCCCTTAGCTTGGAGACTGCTGGAGCCTGAGTTGGTGCTGTGATATTTAAAACTTGGCAGATGTTTTCTCGAACGAGTTTAACTTCTTAAACCGGTGCAGGCACATAGCATCCCTCCCCGCAGCGGGGAAGCTCACCCTCCATCCCGGCTGGCTCCGGCGCATGGGGCTGGGGATCAGCCTGGTGTCTCGGTTCCCCATTGAGCCCATTAGTGGCTCGGTGCAGTGACACGGAGGGGAGCGGATCCTCCTCGCAGCACACCCCGCTAATTAGCAGAAAGCTGCGAGTCAGCGTGACATCCTTTCCTCCTGAGCTGGGTTTGCGCGGACGCCTGCCCATGTAGCGGGGACGTGAGCCGTATCTCTGCCGGGAGCAGGGCCCGTGGCCCAGCTCCATGGCCGCGTGGAGCAGGCGAGGATGGAGAAATCGTGTCCCTGCTCCTGGCGGGGTGGGGATGGTTTCACTGGGGTGGTACAGGGATGGTGTGAAGAAGCCCAGGGGGAGGCCGGATCCAGCCCCGCAGCCTGGCCATGCTGCTCGACGCCTGGGTCAAAACACCCGAGGGTGGAAGAGGCTGTTTTGGAAATGCAGTGGAAAATGTGGTGTGTATCTGCAAAACCCCTGGTGGGAGACAGCCCCGAATACCCGGAGGGACCCTGTGAGCATCTCCAAAAAGCTGTATCTACAGCCGGCAAGTGGAGGCCTTTCCTCCTCGGTGCTGTGCGTCCTAACGGGGCTTATCTCCTCTGACCTTCACGCATCGTCCCTGCTGCCCAGAGCTCTGCCCCAGCCGTGACAAAGGCGATGCCAACCCAGGCTCTCCCCTGTAACAGCGCTGCCAGGCTAGGGAATGAGCCCGATTCGTTAGCCAACCTCTCAAAACTCCAATTAAGAGGGCTAATGGCGTCTCGGTCGTAGCATGGCAGTGTTAGTGGTGCACGAAGAGAAATGTTGCTTTCCTCCCCACCTCCTCATCCCCATCCATCACCCCTCCGGCAGGGAGACCCCAGGGTTTAGGGTGGTCAGGGTACAGCCCTGCCTCCGGGCTCACCCTGCGGTGCTGGAATTCGGGTTTAGGGTGGGTGAACTCTGGAGCATCATCCCCTTTGCCATGAGCAGCCGGAGCCTTTCCCAACCATCCTGCACGTGGCACAATCCGGGGAGGTCCCCGGGGCTGGGCGGCCCCGTCACCGCTCTCGCTCCCTCTGGCAGGTGGAAGAAGCCGATGACTGGCTCCGGCACGGCAATCCCTGGGAGAAAGCCCGTCCCGAGTACATGCTGCCTGTGCACTTCTACGGCCGGGTGGAGCACGCCGCCACCGGCACCAAGTGGGTCGACACGCAGGTACGGGCTGGGACGCAGCTTCGTGGGGCCGGCATGCGGGGAACCCTCCTTGTGTGGCTTGTCCGGTCGCCTGGGGGGCTCTGACGGGCCGGCTGCACCCCGGGCACGGGTCCTGCCCGCATCCCTGCTGGGGAGGAGCAAACTGGGGTGGGGATGGATGCAGGGATGGGGACAGGCTTTGCTGCTCCACATCTGCAGCCAACCCCTGAAACACCCAAAAGCACCTCCAGCAGGTCTGTGTGCAATGCGCAGCCCAGCACAACGGCTTAAATTGAGCTTCTCCTGACCCTCGCAAGCCTCGCTCCATCTCCTGAGTGCTTCTGGCAAACACCTGCGGCCAGGCAGGCCTGGGGGAGCCGAGGTGTCCCCGGGGCAGGGGCTGGGGGTACCAAGCACATCCCCATGCATGCAACCCCGTGAAGGTGGGTGCAACCCTGAGCTGACTCCTGCGGAAGGGTCTGTGGGAGGGGGGGCTCCGGTGGGGCCGGGGGGACGTGGGGGGACACCAGCCAGGGGTGCAGCCCGGCTCCGGCTGCCCTGCCCATGTCCTAGGTGGTGCTGGCGCTGCCCTACGATACCCCCGTGCCCGGGTACATGAACAACACCGTCAACACCATGCGCCTGTGGTCAGCTCGGGCACCCAACGACTTCAACCTGCGGGACTGTAAGTGGGTGCTGGCGGGGTGCTGAGCGGGACGGGGCGCCGGGAGGGTCCCGCACCCACCTTATCCCTTTGCTCCTCTCCAGTCAATGTCGGAGACTACATCCAGGCCGTGCTGGACAGAAACCTGGCAGAGAACATATCCCGCGTCCTCTACCCCAACGACAATGTAAGTGGGGATGGAGGGGTGTCCCTGTTCTAGGGATGGCTAAAGATTGCGGAGCAGCCCCTCTCGCCGGGACATCGCAGAGATGTTTTAGTTGTGTTTCAAGCCGCCTGCAGTGCTTGGATGGGGATTGCTGCTCTTGCCAGCGCTGCCCGGGGCTGCAGCAGACTCGAGTCCTTTCCCAGGCAAATCTGTGCTCAGGGCGGGAAAGGGGAGGGAGTGGGAATGAGCACGTCCTGCTGCAGAAATGTTCCTCGAGTCTCAAAATATAACATGAGGGCAAACTGATGAACACTGCTGGCATTTTCCTGCCTGTCCCTTGCAGCCCAGGACCAGAGATTATGCTTCAAATTGCCCTTTGCATCCCGATGCCTTTGCATCTTGCTGCGGGTGTTCTTGCCGTGCTGCACGCTGGCTGGCACGGAGGCGCGGTGGGACGTACAGCCCTTCCCCGGGCACAAAACGAGCTGCAAAGCAGGGGAAGAAGGCGAAGAGCGGCTCTCCTTGCTCTGCAGCCTGTTTTGGGCAGGCCCTGATGGGGTTTTTTTCCTGTATAATCCTACCCCAGCCCTCCCAGCTGGCGAGGAGAACTGGGAGCACCACAGCTGCGGTGGTGAGACTGCCTCCTGCAGATCCTCTCTTGCAGACCAGCTAGTTGATGTTTTGTGCTGTGTGAACGGTGGTTTTAATTCTTGTCTTAGAAATAGCTCCTAGGTGTTACAGCCCCTGTGGCTTCCCTTCCCATTGCCCCGGTACCTTTCCTTGCGGCCGAAATTTTCAAACCAGGGAGAACAGGTTTCGACGATGCTCGGGGAGGATTAAACTCTGTTTGTACCAGCACATCTCAAACCCCGGTGCTGAAATCTGGAAAGCGAGAAGATGTTGGGGTTAGAGGTGCTGCCAGCACCGGTGCTGGGGGAAGCACTGGGGGCTCGCGCCGGGCCGTGCGGTGGATGTGTGCCGGCGTGGGTCCCTGTGTGGCGGGGAGCCCCAGGAAGGCGCAGCTCCTCCAGCGCAGGCGTGCCTGGGCAATGCGGTGCAATCCTGCAGCACCCCGCTCCTCTGCTCACAGTTCTTCGAGGGGAAGGAGCTGCGGCTGAAGCAGGAGTACTTCGTCGTGGCTGCCACCCTGCAGGACATCATACGCCGCTTCAAAGCATCCAAATTTGGGAGCACGGACAGTGTCCGAACCGTGTTTGATTCCTTCCCCGACCAGGTACGAGCCAGGGCTGCTCTGCCTTGTGCCTTAGAGCTCATTTTGACGCCTCCCAGATGCACACCCAGGGCTGGAGAGGTTTTGTGGACCCTCCATGGGTGCCTACGCCCAGCTGACTTGGGCAGTGGGCTGCCCACGTGTCCCCCGCATGTCCCCGTGCACCACCCCTGCTCTCCCCGCAGGTCGCCATCCAGCTGAACGACACACACCCCGCCATGGCCATCCCTGAGCTGATGAGGATTTTCGTGGACATCGAGAAGCTGCCATGGAACAAGGTGGGGAGACCCGACCTGGCCCTTGGGTTCCCTCTGGTTGCACCCAGCCTCCCGCCCACCCGCGGCGGAGGAGCTGGGGAACCGGTTTTGTAGCTGCTGGTGGCCTGGGGAGTGATGTGGGGCAGTCAGTTTGGGTTTAACCCATATGGAGTTGGAGGATCCAGCTTGGCCGTGCTGCTGGCCACCGTGGGAGGACCGTGCGTGGGTGCTGGCACCCGCCCAGAGCTGCCTCCACCCTCGCCGCTCAGTGCCGGCTCTCCTCCCGGCAGGCCTGGGACATCACCAAGCGGACCTTCGCCTACACCAACCACACGGTGCTCCCCGAAGCCCTGGAGCGCTGGCCGGTGGACCTGGTGGAGAAGCTGCTCCCCAGACACCTGCAGATCATCTACGAGATCAACCAGAGGCACCTGGATGTAAGTGCCTTGGGACGGCGCAGGAGCCCTCTCCAGAGAGCGGGACGGGGATGTCCTGTTGGGACTGGGGGGATGCACAAACCGATGGTGGTGGGTGTGTGGCCGGGTGGTTCTGGCTGCTGTTTTGGGGGGCTGGTGTATAGGAAGGCCCTCCCCACCAGTCTGTTGCCATCCCGCAGTTAGTGGCTATTTTAAAGACTTCACCCATTGCTCCAGGGACTTACCTGCTGGCATTTCTTTGCTCCCTAAATACTAAATTCATCCTGAAGAAGGATGAGGCTGGGGGTACAAAGAAGGTGGTGGTTTGGCCTCCTGGGCTGGCAGCACGAGGCTCTTGCTGAAGCAGCCCTGCTGGCCCAGCACGTGCCCAGAAGCCCCTCTCCGTGAGGACTTGGGGGGTCCTTCTGTCCAGAGACATCCGTGCTGGGGAAGGGCGCCCTTCGGAGGGGGTTTGCACCGTCACCCTGGAGTAAAAGCCCCCGCTCCGGCTGGTGTCAAATGCGTTGGAGACGTTGCTGTGGGCCCTTCCTCGGGAGCCATCGGGTGGGACATCCTTAAACACTGGCACCGCTCACCACCTCTCCGGCCTCCACCGGCAGCACATCGCCTCCCTCTTCCCTAACGATGTGGACCGGCTGCGGAGGATGTCCCTGATAGAGGAGGGAGGCATCAAGAGGATCAACATGGCCCATCTCTGCATCGTCGGCTCCCACGCTGTCAACGGCGTGGCGAAGATCCACTCCGAAATAGTCAAGACGCAAGTGTAAGCGCGGGGAGGGAGGCGGTGGTGGATCACCCTCGGCGTAGAAATGGTGGCGGTGGGTGGTGGGCGAGCCTGAAGCTGTCCCCTCCTCATCCTCGCAGCTTCCAGGACTTTGCAGCGCTGGAGCCGGAGAAGTTTCAGAACAAGACCAACGGCATCACGCCACGGCGCTGGCTCCTGCTCTGCAACCCAGGGCTGGCGGAGCTCATTGCAGAGGTAACGGCGCGGGGGGAGCGCGCCGGTCCCCAAAACTTGACCCCAGGGACACTGCCCCTGGGGACACCGCTCCAACCTCAGCCATTTATATCTTTTGAATGGTCAAGCTCTGCTTGCATCTCGCTCGAGTCCCCTGCTCCTGCTTCCCAAGCGCTGCTGGCTTTGCCGGGCGGGAGCAGCGTGCCCGATGAAGGTGGCCGCCCCCATCCTGTGGTCAGCGAGTTCCTCTGCTCCCGTTGCAGAAAATAGGGGAGGACTACGTGCGGGACCTGAGCCAGCTGATGAAGCTGCACGAGTTTGTGGATGACGACCTCTTCATCCGGGAGGTGGCCAAAGTGAAGCAGGTGAGGGGTGCGGGCCGGGGGGACGCAGGCCGGGGGAGCACCGGCTGGGGGCTGACGTGCTCCCTGCCCTCTGCCAGGAGAACAAGGTGAAGTTCGCACTGTACCTGGAGAAGGAGTACAAAGTGAAGATCAACCCGTCCTCCATGTTCGACGTGCACGTGAAGAGGATCCACGAGTACAAGCGGCAGCTGATGAACTGCCTGCACATCATCACCATGTACAACCGTAAGCCACCGCGTGCCCTGAGGGGATAGGCTGCCCTGGGGGGGCACGAGCATCCCTGTCCCCCAGGACTGCAGCTAAAGCAGAGGGTGACACCATGCTGCTGTCTTCTCCAGGCATCAGGAGGGATCCTGCGAAGCTGTTTGTGCCGAGGACAGTGATCATCGGGGGCAAGGTAAGCTGGGTCAGGAGTTTTAGGCATTTTGGAGGAAGTCCTTGAAGATGCCCTAGGGGATCTGGGTGCAGATGTTCTCATGGGGTTGTGTCCCCGAAGTCCTCTGGAAGCCTCGAGGCAGCACTTGTTGGCTTCAACTCAAGCAAGGTTCTGCTGCCTATGGTCTTGCAAGCCCCCAAAAACTTGGTGGCACAAGACACGAGTTGGATGAGGGATGGGAGCAGGGCTGAGCGGGTGCTTCCCTGGGCACGTGGGAGCTGGGTGCTCCTCGCCGGCCCCTGGCACCAGCCCTCCAGGCTCACCCGTGCCTTTTCTCCTAGGCTGCCCCAGGATATCACATGGCTAAAATGATCATCAAGCTCATTAACGCCGTGGCTCAGGTGGTGAACAACGACCCCGTTGTGGGGAGCAAGCTGAAGGTCATCTTCCTGGAGAACTACAGGGTCTCGCTGGCAGAGAAAGGTAGCTGACGTGGGGCACGCTGTGGGGAGGGGATGTCCGCCCTGCGGCCATCCACCAGCCCATGGCTCCATCACTGTGAGGCAGCAAATCTAACGTCCTTCAGCACGATACAAACCCAAAGCTGGTCACCAGGAGCCCCTTGTCTCCATGTGTTTTGTTGGCAGTGATCCCCGCTACCGACCTGTCGGAGCAGATTTCCACGGCGGGCACCGAGGCGTCGGGTACGGGGAACATGAAGTTCATGCTGAACGGAGCTCTGACCATCGGCACCATGGATGGAGCCAACGTGGAAATGGCCGAGGAGGCTGGAGAGGAAAACCTGTTCATCTTCGGCATGAGGGTGGAGGACGTCACGGAGCTGGACAGGGAAGGGTGAGGGCTGGGGACGCCACAGGGGTGCCACCACAGGCAGCCGGAGCAGCACCATCTCATATCAACCCTTCCCCGCCAGGTACAATGCCCAGAAGTACTACAACCGGCTCCCCGAGTTGAAGCAAGCCATTGACCAGATTAAGAGTGGCTTCTTCTCCCCAGAGGAGCCCGACCTCTTCAAAGACGTGGTCAACATGCTCTTCCACCATGACCGGTGAGGCCTGAGATGCCATCCATCCCCTGGGTTGGGTTTCTCCACCACACTCCTAGTGCCCATGCAGAGCAGCCCCCTGCACCAACCATCCACCCTCTGGCTGATAAGGTCCCATTTTCTGGCCCTGATGTTGTGCACGTGGGCGAGCAAGTGATGCTCTGTGGGTACAAACAGCTCTCCACGTGCAGCACGTCACGCTTGCTGCATTAAAGCCTGGGGTACGGTAAGGCCAAGACGCATTTGGGTGCACAGCCCTTGCCGGATGATAGATGCTTTTAGGTGTCTCATGGGCTTTCCCGGACAGAGCACCAAGCAGCCAAGGGCTGGGGGCATTTGTACCGGGGAAATGTCATCCCGGTGAGCTGACGCAGGGTGTCCCCTCCCAGGCCACCCGTCCAGCCTGCGCCGCAGCGCCCGTGGGCTTGCAGGGCTCTGTACAAACAGGGCTTGGGGAGGCCAAATTCGTCTGAAGTGTTCATGTTTGAGGAAACCCCAGATCTGGCAGCCCGAGCCACGTGCGCTACAGCCGCCGGCCACCGCCACGCTCCTACCTGTGCGTTTCTGCCATCGCTGACTTCCCCTTTCTTCGCTGCTGTAGGTTTAAAGTTTTTGCAGACTACGAGGCTTATGTTAAATGCCAAGAGAAGGTCAGCGAGCTGTACCTGGTGAGTTCCAGCCCGGGGGCGAGGTGGGACGGCTGTGATGGTGGCCCAACGTCCCATCCTGGAGAAGGGGTCTGGTGGGGCTGTGCACGTAGATGGGTTCCTGGCGAGAAGGCTCCTGGCTGGGCTGCTGCGGGGTGTCCCTGGTTGAAAGCCAGTCTCGGGGCCAACGTGGCACCCGTGGGCGCAAGCCTCCGTCCCCACTGTCCCACCACTCTCCTTGCAGAACTCCAAGGCATGGACCAAGATGGTCATCAAGAACATCGCGGCAGCCGGCAAGTTCTCCAGCGACCGCACCATCAAGGAGTATGCCCGGGACATCTGGCATGTGGAGCCCTCCGACCTGAAGATCCCACCGCCCAACGAGCCCCGGGACGCGGTCGAGGACAAGACCCCCAACGGCACGGCAGCGTAGGGGCGCGGAGCTGCCGCCGGCCGGAGCCAGGGGAAGCAAGCGCGCGGGCTGTAAAATTGTCTCTGCTGTCTAGTCTCTATGTCGCTGCTGCTGGCTTTCCTACGGACGGGGAAGGGGGGGATTTTTATAACGTAAGTGTCGTGCGGAAAGCAAAAGCACGTCGCCCTGTTGCCTGCATGGGTGCTAAAAGTGCCATTGGAGCCTGAGGGGCTGTTTGCCGAAGCCTAAAATTAGGGACTGGGCTCACTTGCACCAGTGCTAATGCAGAAAGAGGGTGCAGGAGGTGAGCTGCTGGGGCTCAGGGCAGGGCAGGGTGGGCAGCACAGCTGGCCACAGCTGCCGAAGCCCTGGCAGGTGATGCCGAAGCAGGACTTGGGGTGCAGCTCTTGCCAGTCCTGAGGCATGGGTGCCAGGGGGGTTAAGGAGTGTTTGCGGTCAGGCCCACGTACCCCCACCACTGCCCCAGATGATGCTCCTGGCCACCGTTTGCATGGTCCTGTCCCAGGAGCAGCCCCCAGGTCACAGCAGTATCTCCATCCCCGAGTAACCTGCAGCATCCTCGAAGCAGTGGGCGAATTAGAAAGTTTCTCAGTAGTTTTTATTACGTACAGCAGTAAGTTCAGTGCAACGAGGGGTTCCCGGTGTGGGTTTGAGGGAGTGCTCCTGGTCGCTGCGCGCAGCAGCTGCCATCACTTCATGTTCAAGAAGTCTCTGCAACAAGACGCAATAAATCGTACACTCTATCACTGACCGCCCTGTGCTGCTTCAGATCCTCATTTCTGATCCCTGGATGTGGGTCTGAGCTGGGCTTAGAGCAAAGCTGCATCTCTGCACCCAGGGCAAAGAGGAGCTGGGGGCTGTCCCCAGGGCCACCTCCCCGTGACACCCAGGCCGAGGACAGGCTCAGGGCAGTGAGGAATGACTGGAGCTCAAAAATTGATGCCAGCAAGCACCGTAGGGAGGGGAAGGAGCAGGGGAGGGCACCTGCAGGGCTGCAGCAGGGGAGGATGCACCCGTGGAAGAAGAGGCCAAGGCTCATTCTGTGTCCCCCCTATTTCTGCAGAGCAGCACTTACTTCACCAGGGCGGGCAGCTCCGGGTTGAACGAGATGTAGTCGTGGCCCAGGCCCAGCTTTTTGGGAAAGGTAATGAACTTCACCTTGCTTTTGTCCTTGTAGGCGCTGCGTGCGGTTTCGAAGAGCTGCCGTGGGGTGGGAGCGCAGTTAGCAGCATGCACCGGGGACCTCAAACCCCTTCCCACCCCCTCTCCCTCCCCTTCAGCCCCCCAAAACCAGCGCCCACCCCCATTAAAGCCCCCGTGGAGGCGATGGTGGTCCCCACCTTGCTGCCCAGTTGTGGAGGCAGGATAGCATCATCTTCTGCGTTCAGGATAAGGAGGGGGCAGGCCAGCACTTTCACGCTGCGGGCAGTAAGTACAGCACGAAGGAGTCACCCCAGAGCCAACAGCCCCGTGGGAGCCTTGCTGGGTGCTGCCAAAACCCCCACAGCCACCCTGACCCCCCCCAGATGCTCCCTCTCAGAGCCATCCCAGCCCATCGGTGGCCAAGGGCAGCTGAACTGCCCCAGGGTGATGCCCACGCTGCTCGCCCCAGCCCAGCAGCACCAAGCACCCTAATAACCTTAAACCCCTGACACAGGGTGCTCGGGCTTCAAAAACATCCGTGAACAACGTGGCTTTTAGCAAAGGCACCCACAAACACGGAGGGGGAAGGACCCTGCCATCACAGAGTGTGTCTGTGCTGCAACACGGGTGGGACTCGAGCACGTAGTGCTCAAAAAAAGGATGTTGGCTTGTGGACTTTGCTCAGTAGTAATATTGATATCTGAAATTATGCAAATAAAAAGCCATTTTGAAAGCATGAGTAAGCTGGGCAAACACAAATAAGAGTGCAGGGATTGCACGGTGTGACATGTCCAACCCGCCCCTCCTCGGCCAGCCCCGCGGGGACGGCTGCACCCCATCCCTCCGGGCACTCACTTCTCGTTGTTGCGGAAGAACATGTTGCCCAGGGCCAGCGAGTCCAGGATGAGGTACTCGAAACCCGGGAAGGGGTGGTAGAGCTGTCAGGGAGAGAGTTGGGGGGGGATGCTAAGTCCTGGCTTTGATTGCTGCAGCCCCCCGCCGGAGGGGAGCCCCGGGCCGCTGGGGCTGCCACCGCTGGGGGACCCCGCGGCGAGAGCCCCCGGCTCACCTTGGTGAGGGGGAAGTGCATAGCTGCCTCGCGGATGTCGGTGTAGGGTGCCTCCAGGACGATGGCATCAACCTGGATCCCTGAGGGCAGCGCGGGGCGAGAGCAGGCACGGGGGCCGTGAGCCATGAGGCCAAGATGCCCTCGTCCCGCTAAGGAGGATGGGGACGGCCACTTGTCCCCACCACGGGGGGGCCAAGCCTGATGCTCGAGCAGAGAGCAGCAGGGCTCCCCACCTCCTCTGCAGCCCCCAAAATCTGTCTGGGGTGTGCAGAGCCCCAGAGGGGGGACGACACTGTGTGGGGCCAACCCCGCCACGCTGGCCCTTACCTCGCTCCTCCTGCAGTTTCCTTGCCGTGTTCGTGGCAATCCTGCAAGCAGGGGGGGGGGGGGGGGGGGGGCACGCCCTCCACCCCCTCCGTGGGGAAGGAGGTTTTGCTTTGCAGGTGCCTCCACCAAGGAGCTGCTCCAACCCCTCGGTCCATCCCCAGGTGGCACCGGTGTGGCAGCAGCGTCCCAGCCCAGGGACCGGCTGGGGGCTCCTGCATCAGCCAGCACCCATGGGGCATCCCCCTGCCGTCACCCAGCCCTGCACCTACCCCGTCCCCAAGGAGTGTCCCCAGAAAAGGATGCTGCTGTTCCCACTCCGTGCTTTGGCCCAGTCGTAGAGGGCCAGGACGTCCGTGGTGAAGCCGCTCTCTGTGGGGTGCCCGCTGGAGTCCCCGTAGCCTGCGGGGGACACGGCTGGGCGTCACGACCCAGGGTGGGACACTGGGCCCGGGGGGGGTCACTCAGCGAGAGGCAGGGGGATGACGTTACCTCTGTAGTCGAGAGCGAGGATGTGGAAGTCAGCAGCCCCCATCGTCTGTCAGAGGAGCGGCACCGTGTCACGTCCTGGGGGCGGGATGCACCCCAGGGCCCCCCAGCATGGCCGGGTTCACTCTGCCCAGGGTCCCTCTGGGGTCCCGGAGCCCGCGTGAGCCCTGGCAGGGCCCAGTCCCCCCACAGGGCACCACTTACCTTCAAGAACTGGACGCGGTGGTTCGCAGCCCTGATGGGGAAAGGGAGGTTAGAGCTCGGGGAGGGACCCTCCCCTCCAGTGCCAGTTCAGCCGAGAGACTGGGGTGACCTTTTCCCAGCAGGGGAAAGCTGGATGCTCTGGGGTGGATGGGTTTTCACGTTTCCCTTTAACTGAAAGGGATTTTCCTCCACCCACAGGATCAGAAACTGCCGCAGCAACCCCAGCCCTGCAGCACGGCTGGCTGCTGCACTGAGTTTGCCAGTTCTCACCCCACGCAGAGACGCTGCGTGACAGCGGCCGCCGCACCCATCCTCCCCTGGGAGAGGCACGCACCCGGTCCCGGCCCCGCTCACAGGTACTCACCTGGTCCCCCCGTTACCATGCAGGTAGATGATCACAGGGTGAGCATCGGCAAGCGCCTCCTCGTACCAGCGCTGGTCCTTGCCCTGCGCCTCGGCCCCTCTGCTGCCCGGCACCGTGTGCCTGGGGGGGCCAGAGCGGGGTTACCCGGGGGGCTCCACCTGCTCTAGCCAGGACACTGGCGTAGCCACACGGCCGTGCCCACCTGGGCCACCAGGGCCACCCTGCTCACCAGATGCCAACCGTGACGCCCGGCTCGGTGTCAAGGTAGAGGCTGACGGTGTTGTTCAGCAGCAGCTCCGGCCGCTGAAGGTCCACGAAGAAGGGGTAGCGCACTGATGGAGAAATCGCAGCTGTCAGACGGGCAACCCAGAAACCCTCGTACCCAGTGGCGTTTGCACATTTTCCAAAGCAACGTGTTATTTTTTTGAAATGATTTGCGCGGAGGCCAAGGGCCGTGCCACAGCTGGCTCGGGGAGTGGGTAGGCGAGCACAGCCCTCTGCCACCTCCTCCCACCCGGATTCCTAGCCCTGTCGACGCTGTGCATGCCCAGATGTGTTGCAACTTTAGGCAGCGAACAGCTGCATTATTACAGCCTGCAAAACACGAGGTGCCAACGGGAAAGGTCCCTGCATGCCTCCTCTGCCAGCCCACGGCAAAGGGGTGGTTGGACGGGTGCCGCCCTGGCGCTGGGTGCGGCCCCCTCCCACAGTTTGGGGATCCCCCCAGCCCCCTGTCTGCTGAAATCCTGGGTGGTGGGGGGCTCTCCCGGTTGGGACAGCCCTGGAGCACTCACGCAGGTTCAGGAAGACTAATTTGGCGAGCGTGCCGAAGGGGAAGAGGCGGATGAGGAAGGGCACGGAGATGTAGATGAGGAGCAGGCCCAGGAGGAGGGTGCGCAGCCGGGGACACCAGGCCAGCCGGCCCCTGCAAGGAAGGCACCTTGTTAGCACATCCCCTCCCGCCCGAGAGCTCTGAGGCACAGCGGAGCCGGGTCCCCCTTCCCAACCCCAGTCGTGATGGTTGGATACAGCGGCTTTTCCCCCTCAAGGGCCTGAGGCTGCCATTTGTGTTCCCCTGGGACTGGGAACTGGTTCTCCACATCGGGGTTGTGTTTGGTTTTCGGGGATGGAGCCGAGGTGTCGGAGCAGCCCCACTGTGACACAGCGTCATGAGAGGCCACGATCCGGTCCCCCGCAGCCTCCCACGGGACACCGGCAGGCAGGAAGGGCAGGGCATGTACCAAGGCCGGGAGTTGCAAGCCAAACCGGCAACAAGGAACAACCAACGCTCTGTGGCAACACCCCGAGTCATGGGTGGTGAGACACGACCATGGAGGTGTCCCCAAGCCCGGCACCAAGAGCCTCTGCAATTGTCCAGGGACAAGGAGGAAAGCCGGGAAAGAGGCGCAGGGAGCCCACAGCACTGCAGGAGAAACCAGTCCCCAGGGCGATGTCCCGCAGTGCCACCAGCACAGGGTGGGGAGCGCGACCACCCCCGTCCTGCCCCGAAGGGCTGGGGGACGCATCCAGCCGCAGCGAGCCGCCAGCCAGCCCCAGCCCCAGCCTCCCAGAGGGAAGGGAATGCCAAGAGCTGCAGATTGCCTGGCATCAACGTCTCTCGTGGGCTGGCGGCGCTGGGCGATGGGGAAACTGGTCTGGACCCTGAGGGATTTAGGGCAAAGGTTTCTGACAGGCATTCAAGCACAGTTCGCTCCCTGCCAGCACATGCCCAGGGTCGTCGTCGTTCCTGCAGAAAGGGATTTATTTCATTGCCTGCCCTGGGGAGTGTGGCAAGATGCTGAGAAAGGGTTGCAAAGGGGGTACCAGGGCAAGGTGGCAAGGTCCCCGTGGCGCAGGCACCCTTCCTGGGAGGGTGCAAGGGTGGCGTGAGCTGTGCTGGAGCCACGGGGAGCTCCTTGAACCCCCGTCGCGCCCCAAGATGTTGGTCTGAGCAGTCCCACTGCGCGTTGGCAGCAGCGGGCCAGCAGCACCCTCGCAGTCGCTGCGGTTAATTATTAGGTGCTGCTCTTGGTCTACACCTAATATGCAAGTGAAGGGGCGAGCGCTCACACCTGCCCTTGCACAATACCTGCACCGGGTCCGGAGCGGGTGGGGGGACGCGCCCACCAAGGGGCACCTCTGACAGCTGGCACGGCAACAAGCCACCGCATGGCGTCAGGGGGACAGCAAAGTGACATGGGGACACAGCCACAGCACGGCATCATGATGGGGGGGGGGGCATGGCCGTGGTACGGGATCACAGCCGTGGCAGGGTGACATGGGACATGGCCACCGTACGGGATCACGGCCGTGGCAGGGGGACAAGGGACATGGCCACGGTACGGGATCACAGCTGTGGCAGGGGGACAAGGGACATGGCCACGGTACAGGATCACGGCCGTGGCAGGGTGACATGGGACATGGCCACCGTACGGGATCACAGCCATGGCAGGGGGACATGGGGACACGGCCGTAGCCCAGGATCACGGCTGTGGCAGGGTGGCACAGCCACGGCCAGGGGGACACACATGGGGTCACGGCCCCAGCAAGGTGACAAGGCCACGGCGTGGGGACACAGAAGCACGGCCACAGCACGGGGACAGACCTACAGCACAGGGGACACAGCGGTGGCACATGGTCACAGGAGACGCGGCAGGGGACACGGCGGGGCAACAGAGCATGGCCACAGCAGGGGACAGGGAGCGAAACACCCGCGGGGACCGGGACACGGTCCCGGGGAGCGCAGCGCCCCCACGCCGGCCCGGTAGCCCGGTACCGCAGCCGGGTACTCACCGCTCCGGCCGGGCCGCGCCGGCCCCGCCCTCCGCCCGCCCGCC